AGATAGATAGATAGATAGATAGATAGATAGATAGATAGATAGATAGATAGATAGATAGATAGATAGATAGATAGATAGATAGATAGATAGATAGAAAGATGGATAGATAGATGGATTTAGGATCCAGTCTGGCTCAGGCTTGAATCATCATTTTCAGTGTAAACAGATAAAGCCTCTATCCAGTGTAGGGAAACCTGAGGAGTGCGGCCTGTCCGGGGCCGAGCCGCAGGTTGTTCAGGTCCACCCTGCTCTCTGCTGGCAGGGCGCTGCTGTTGGTGCTGAGGACCACCCCCGCGTGCTGGGGCAGCGTCACATCGCTCAGCTGCAGCTGCGTCGCCTCCTCCGCCCAGTTGAAGGCGGCCAGGTAACGAGCGCTCTGGTCCCAGACCCGCAGGTACACCAGGGAGGAGGAGGAGTTAGAGAGGAGGACGAAGTCCCCGAACAGCAGGGAGCGCTCTTTACCTCGCAACTCGCTCAGACTTTGGAAGAAACTGCGACAGGACAGACGCTCGGACCTCTCCTCCTGCACACACAGAGTCAGCCACATGTACCACTACTGATACCACTGACACAAGTACGAATACTAGCAGTACTACATCTGGTACTCATACGTGACGATCGCTGCTGCTCATACTGCATCAGCTGGGGCAAGAACTGTTACCGTCAGTATTACAGAACCATGTGACCCATTAGAACTGGTACTATCACTACAACCACTACTGGTGTGATGGTGGGATCGTTTCTAACACATCCTGCACATCCAGTTCTGCTGTTGTTGTTGTTGTTGTTGTTTACCTGTTGAGTCTCGTTCTGTGCGTCATCAGAGTCCCAAAGCATCTTGGGAAACTTGGTGTCCTTCAGAACAGATGATAAGATGTCAGCAACAACCAGGCAGATGAAAGAAACAGCTCAGTGATCATCTGTAAGTATCTCTCTCTCTCTCTCTCTCTCTCTCTCTCTCTTTGAAGGAAACACTGAAGTGTAAATTGATGATGTCATGAAATATTTTTTGCCATGTTTATCCCAAAATTTAATGACGTGAGTTCACATTGTCACGTTCCGAACACAGAACTTTCTGCTGCTCAGTTAAAATAAAGGATCCTCACCTCGTCCATCAGACCGATCTCGTCTCCGTAGTTGAAGACTGGCGTCCCCGGCAGAGTGAGCAGCAGCAGCTGATACAGTTTCACCAGAGCCGGGCCCACCAGCGACGCCAGGTGACCCTCCTTCTGACCCCCCAGGCTCCACGCCAACTTCATCTGGCTGTGGGACGAATACAGGTGCTGGACCGACTGAGCACGCTCCGTGGCATCTGAGTCTCTAGGACGGAGAACTCTGGAGATCAGGAGGTCGACACCAGTGGAGGAGAGGAGGGAGGACACGTCCTCAACCGAGGATCGATCTGTGATCCCGATCAGAACTCTGAAAGACATCCAGAGCAAGAAGATGGATGATGGATGAGGGATGATTGATGGAGGGATGAAGGGAGGGACCAATCAGATGGATTGATAGAAATGTTTTTCTTTGTTTGGACATCTCATGGTTCCAGTAACAGTTGGACAGTTTCAGACCTTTTGTCGGGACGCTTCTCCGTCCCATTCTGGACGATGGTTCGGATGTCGGTCCACAGAGATGGCACCACGGTGGAAACACGCTCCACCCCCGACAGCTGGATGCCGTCCACACCTTCATCCAACCAGAACACCAGAGCAGACTGAGGAGACAGACACAGCACCAGCAGGGTGAGGGTTCTCAGTTCATCACCAACCTTAACACATAAAGATGTCGAGTCCCCACAGAGAAACTAAATCCACAGGACAAGATGCTGCGAAGAACCCAGCCGCTGAGAACTTGAGGCGTCTGTCTTCTACCATTAGAAGACATGTCTCTGTCTTCTACCATTAAAAGACATGTCTCTGTCTTCTACCATTAAGAGACAGACGCCTCGACTTCCTGCTGCAAAAACACTCAGTGCTTTAAATATTCAGCTTTTTATTTTGGATTTCAACAGGATGAGGAAAACAACTTTTAGGACGAGCAGAAACCGATCCTCAGTTCACTGAGGAATCGAACGTCTTCGTGGTTTTACACCCTGACGTGATGTTCAGTGTGAGCTCTCACCTTCAGTCTCTCTGCCACGTTGGTCACACTGGTGTTGGAGAACCAGGGTCCAGATGTTCCCTGGTAGTTTGGAGTCAGATCCAGAACCACAGAAATACCTGCAGGAACAAACTGCTGTCATTCTTTCACAGATTGTTGAGATGATTGTTTGTTGTCTCTGAACCTTTGTGAACCACATGTCCTGATGTCTCTGTCCTCCACCAGTGTTTTTATGTCATGTGACTCCTCACCCTTCTTGTGGGCCGCCTGAATGAAACCTTTGAACTGCTCCCGGTTTCCAACCTTCGGAGAAATCTCTTCAAACCTCAGGCTCACGGCTTCATCAGGCGGAGCGACGTGGAGCGGCCCGACCACCACACCTTTAACCTTCAGCTGAGACAGAGCGACCACCTTCTGCTCCAGACCTGAGGGAGGAAAACTCTCTGAGTTAAAGGTTCCTCGTGGAGAGTTTGACCTCTGGAGGCAGCACTGAGCTGTCGTCAATAAGCAGCTCATCTCACGAGTTGTTTCTTTAACAAAACAATTATCAAACGTTTTTGTGAATCTCTCAAATAAAATAATTCACAGATCATTTGTCAAGTGTAATATCAGATCAGGTGACATTTGGTTCAGATCTGGATTCTTTGGGTTTTGTGAATCACAATAAATATTATTTTTTCAGTTACTGTGCGTCAAGAAATATTCCTTTCATCTGTATCAGAGAATGAATATTTAACAGATAGTTTCCAGAGCATCACTGTGAACACGGTGTCTGTATCTAAAGTGTTTCTACAACCAGGAACACAACGAGGTGTTTGAGGCTCTTCACTGAGGGAGAGCCT